TAAAGTACCTCCCAATTCCTTTGAATCCTTACATGTTTCATAAAAAATTGCAGAAAAAAATTATAATCAAAATGTTGTTCCTTAGGGTTCTCAACTTGCATAACTATTTAATTGTCATATTAAAATGGAAATTTGATTTGATAATTAGTTTTAAATAATTAATAATTATAATTATGATTTGATGATGATAATGTTGAAAAATATAAAACAGCAGAATATTAAAAAAAGTTTCAAAGTGCGAAATGAGTTATTGTTTTATGAGAATTTCATAAAAATAACAATCATTAAATTTTTAATTAAAAGCTGTGAATTCAGATATAATTAATGTAAGAAATTATTTGTGAAATTACTACAACAATTATTTTCACTACTTTTTAATATATAATATTCAATTATATCAATGGGAGAGCAAATTCTTTTCAAAATTGTTACTTTTGTTCAACTTTGCAATAAAAAAATAATTATAAACAAATAAAAATTTTTAAATCGGACTCGACAAAGCTCTTCTAAATGTTATAAGCTTCAATTTAAAAATAAAATAAAATCGGTTGAAAAATAAAGCCTGTAGACCTTTTTGAAACTTAATTTTCAGATTTGCACCACTGTGAGATGTAGGCGCTTTGCGCCTCCCCCTTCTTGCTTCTTTTCCTGATTTTTTCGTTTAAAGTTCCCATTAATATTGTTGTCTAAAGTACGTCTTCATAAAAAGAACGTCTAAAAGACGTCTTTTAAACGGTCATGTGACTATTAGGTCTGTAATGTTAATTTGTCCATAACTTTTTTCGTAAAATGCTGAATGGATTGAGCTGAAATATTGTGGAGGAATTTAAAATATGATAAAGAATGGTTGGGAAGTGTAAAAATATTGATAGATTGTCAAATAAATATAATAAAAAGCATAAAAATTGTTAGAAAATCCAACACTACATAAAAGTAGTGTTTTAAGTTTTTAAGTAGTGTCACTTGCTTATGATGCTTGCTAATAACAATTAATAAAATTATTTTGATAAGAAACCGAAAGAATATAGAGGGATCTCGTGCTCATATAGTTAACTGCATTTGGTAGCATCTGAAGTACTAAACTTATGTTTACTATAGACATTTATACATCTAATTATAGATTAGTAATGTAGGATCATATTCTACAGATAGTAAACTAATTTTTAAACCAAAAGAAAGAAATTGTAAAAAAAAATTTACACTTGTTTCTCCCCTTGACAATATATAAACATTTTCACACTTGACAACCATTCCCTATCATATTTGGAAATCCTCCATAAAATTTCAACTCAATACATTCAGTATTTTACGAGAAAAGTTACAGACAAACCTACATTACAGACCTAACAGCTACATAAACTTAAGACATCTTAAGGTGGTACACGCGCGATAGCACTTTTCTATAGAATTCGATGAAATTGAAAATCTTAACAGTTAATAGCGAGATCTACATATTCTCAAAGTTTTAAAAAAATTGACACATTTCTTTCAGTAACTTCTAAAATGTTCTATAGATTTATTTGAAAAACTAAGATATTATAAATAAATATTTAAAGAATTTAAACGAAAAGGAATTAACAATATTAACCGTTTCATTTAAGAGATATATGGGTGATTCTCCAGAAACAGGTCACTTTTGATTCTTTGATTAATTAGTTAATAAATATTATCTAGAATTGGTTTATTTTTTTTTTAATTTCTTCATTTTAATGATCTTTAATAAACTCATTATCAATATAATGATATTTTACTTCCCAAAATTTATTTTGTCATCTGAAATATGCTAAAAATATACTTTTGCTCGTTCCACACATGGATTTTGCTATTTTTGAATAAGATTTTTGACATTAAAATTAAAAAAATAAAATTTGTCATTATAGTCATTTTAAAGTATGGCTGAAAAACTGTTATTCCCTTAAAGGGGTTTTAATTTTTCGTCCATTTAAATAAAAAAATGTTTATTTATAATGTTTCTTCGTAAATTTTTTTCTGGATCCGGAGTTGAGAATTTGAGTAGTTTTTCGAGGTTTTGCTTGTTATTTTCATTGTAACTAAAGCAATTTTTTGATAAATATGTATAAAAATCCCAATTGAATAAAAATCAACGGTACTAATTAACTAATTAACTTTTAAATTTATATTATTAAACAATACAATTTGCGTATTTTTATTATGTCTCAACTCCGAACCTGTTTAAAACAATCGTTTTTCAAAATAATTTTGAATTTCAACCTATAGTATCGATAAAAGTAATAAAATTGTATAAAATCCCTAAAGGATTTTTTATTTAGTCCTTAATTAACAAAGTAATTAATGTTTTTCATTTGTTTCTCAACTCCAGCTCTCTCAACTCCGGCCCCCGAAATTTTATTGAGCATGCGCAAGTTTCGCGCGAGCAGAAACGACACTCAACTACAGGGCCGTCATTCAGCTTTTCAGTTCCCTTGCGTTTAAGAAACTTAATTTTTTTTCTCTATTTTTATAAAAAAAAGCCGAGATAAATTTCTACAAAACAATTAATTTTTGCAAAGAAATTATTGTTTTGTTCTCGAAAAATTAAATATTAAAAATTTAATTACATGTCTGCGCAAAAACAATGGTGCCTGGGGCCCCGGCCGCCCTTGCTACGCTATTGCGCTGAAAGTACTACAATACATATTTATCGTTAAAATTACATTAAAAACGGTTTTTAAGCTCAAATATTTATTAGAATCACTTGTTCCAATCATAATTAATAAAAAGGATGCAATAAACATGTATTTTTAAATAATTTTGAAAAAAAAATTCCTTATTCAAAAGTGACCCGTTTCTGGAGAATCACCCATATAAGTTTAAAAAATAATAATTTTAACGTTAGTGAAATGGCAAGTCATACATGTGGCAACGTCGCTTTATATAGCTCTCAATGCAAGCTCTTTAAAAATAGAAAAGTGCGCGAAAAATTTGAAAAATGGAAAATAAGGGACTGATGATTAATGTTGCAAATGTTGTTTATTTAGTAAAATTAATATTATTGTAGTATATAACAAATTGATATATCTTTTCTTCACATTGATAATTCATATTATAAGTTAAAACCATATAAATGACGGTCACACAATTAAAAAATCATCATATGAATCAAACAACTTTTCATATTAAAGTTGATAATATATATTAAACAAATAATATTCACAATGCAATAAATATTCGTATTTAAAACTCTTTTCCCTTTTCTCGAAGTTGTTTATAAGAAAAATGCTTCTTCATATCAATCGTTTCTTTTTCACCAGATACAATACACAAAATTACAAAATTGCGACGTTGCCACGCTTCGTAACCTGCTTAGTATACTTGTGCCTGTATATAGGGCTAACGATGTATTCAGTACAGTGAGGCAAAAGAATCTTAAGCAGCATGCTAATAGTAACTGTAGTAGACTATACCATACTATTAGAGTTTACTTTTGAGACTGACTGCTGCAAGTATACTACCTTAAAGAAATATAATTGCCTAGAAATCGAACATTCTTAGAATGTCTTTAAGACTTCTTTTTGATCAAACTCCAGTAGATGTTTTCAAAAAGACATTCTCAGGACGTTTTTTGGGCAGTTGTGTTTTCATAGTCATATCTTTAGGAAGAAATTTTAACAACATCCTATTAACAAAACCGGGATCATCAAGAGAAAATGTTAAATTATTATTTTCTGTTTCTTTGTAATTAACAGTCTGCAAACCAATATTTGACAAAAGAAACTTATTATTTTTAGCTTTATTTTCAAATCCTTCCAAATTAGAATTTAAACGACCTGGTTCGGCATGATAAATATGAATTATATCATTGAACTGAAAATCCTTTTTCAATTGAAAAAGCCTTTCATCATTTTGGGGAGAACCAAAGAATTTATAATCAAAAATGCAAGAACCATTTCGCTCTATAGTAATAGAAAAGTATAATTTGAATACCTCATGAATCTCATTAAGTAGTTTATGTAATTCTATAGTCTTAGTCTTGTAATTTATATAAATTTTTAAGAATACCCTGTCAGCATAACCTAAAGCATAAAAAAAATATTTTACATTATTTAATCCTGTTCCGTTGTAATTAATGGTTTGTAAACTTTTTTGTGCCAAAATAAAATTATTATTTCGTGTTTTATTATTAAGACCTTCAAAATTTGACTTTAGGTGACCTGGTTCGGCATGATAAATACGAATTATATCATTGTACTGAAATTTCTCCATCACATTAATAACCTGTTGATCATTTTGGGAAGAACCAAAGAATTCAGTTTCAAAAATAGCAGAACCGTTTCGTTCTAAGCTGATTATAAAATATAATCTAAAGTTCACATTAATAATCGTTAGCAATTGTTTTAATTCTATTGTCATAGTCCAGTAATTTATATCAATTTTAAAGAACACCTTATCATTAAAACCCAAAGCATCAAAAGAATATTTTAAATTATTTAATTCTATTTGGGTCAAATTAACAGTCTGCAAACCTTTATTTGACAAAAGAAACTTATTGTTTTCAGCTTTGTTTTTAAATCTTCCCAAATTAGAATTTAAACGATCTGGTTCTACATGATAAATATGAATTATATCATTGAACTGAAATTTCTCTATCAATTTAATAAGATTTTGATCATTTTGGGGATAACCATAGAAATTATAATCAAAAATAGACGAACCATTTCGTTCTAAACTAATAGAAAAATATAATTCAAAATTCGGATGTATATCATTAAGTAATTGGTGTAATTCTATTGTCATTGTCATGTAATTTATGTAAATTTTTAAGAACACCCTATCATCATAACCTAAAGCATAAAATAAATATTTTACATGATTTAATCCTGTTTCGTTGTAATTAACTTTTTGTAAACCTTTCTGCGTCAATATAATATTATTAGTTTGATATCTATTATCAAAACCTCCAAAATTTGACTCTAGGCGACGTGGTTGGACATGATAAATACGAATTAAATCATTGTACTGAAATTTCTCCACCACATTAATAAGCTTTTGATCATTTTGGGGAGAACCAAAGAATTCATATTCAAAAACAAATGAACCGTTTCGTTCTAAGCTGATAATAAAATATAATTTAAAGTTCTTATTAATATTGGTGAGCAATTGTTTTAATTCTATTGTCATGTTCTTGTAATTTATAAATATTTTTAAAAAGACTACATCAGCAAAACCCAAAGCATCAAATTCATATTTTAAATTATTCTGTTTTCTGTGAAACTTCTGTTTTAGCTTCTCGCACTTCAACATTAATCGACATAAATTGTGAAATTGTATGATTCTTTACATCACTGATATACGTTTTACCACGAATCTGTTCTTTTACATAAACGGAGTAAACATCTGGTAATAATTTGATAATCATGACTTTTTCAACAATAGTGTGACATTTGTCATTCACATATAGACAAGAATTTGTTAGATCAATTGGTGATTCAATGGTAAAAGTAACATTAACATAGGTTTCCTTCGTTTTATTTGTCAACATCAAAGGTGAATTATGTTTCAAATCTCCTTTTACGTTCGTAGATTGCAAATTTTCAGGATTTATACTAAAATCCATACCAGAAATGAAATGACGGTTCAAATTTGTCTCCAGACATCTTTGTATAGTTAGATTGCTTGTAGAATTAAAAGAATTATTATCACTTTGTAAAATTGATGTCGAAGATACTTGTGTAGAATTAGCTTGGTTACATTTTTCTGAACGTATAAATAATGTTGTTCGATCCATTACACTCATGAAAGTTTCTTCATTTTTATCTTCATTGGCACTTAATCTAGTTGAATAATCATAATTCTGTATTAAATTACTCTGTTTATATAAACCAAGATGTAAACTATAATTAATCAATTTTAGATTATCAATATCATTTGCTGACAATAACATTTGTGAGTAATAATTTTCAACAAATCCGTAAATCTTTACATTTTTGTAAAATTCAGACTGATATTCTTGTATTGTTGAAAGTGATACATCATTAGAATTGTAAATTGGCAATGATAACCAGTTTTTGGTTTCAATTATTATCCGTACTGGAACATTTTTTGAAGCAGATATCATAGGCACGCCATCAAAATTTGTTGTTAAAGTTTTTGTGATATTTTTTTCTCCCGTAAGATTTAATATGATTAATTTTTCATATGGTAAATCAGCAAGAAAGTAAAAATATAAATTTTCTATTTCGGAAGGTGTTTCTACCGTTAAATTAAATGTTGTACCTTGTTTAATTATTATACCAAAATGAGTTTTATATTGGAAGATTTGATTTTGAATTCTTTGACTGGTCCATGGTTCTGAATAATCTTGAATTAAAGGCTCAACAATTCTTGTAGTTATCTAAAAAAAGATGAATTTATAATTTATATGTAAAATGCATGTGATGATGAAGCAAATGTATCTTTTAATTAATATTTTTCTTAAATTTGTATGTGCTTTTGCACTAAAGAACATTTTATCTTTTCTTTTCTTGTAATCCCGTACATTGTAATTAAATAAATATTTAAAAACTTACGTCCAAATTCCATTGCAGTGTTTGCTGTGAAATTGTACTCGACACAAATATTAAAAGCAATTTTATCAATATTAACGAAATCATGATTTACTATTGCATTAGTGACTATTCGTTTGACAACATTCGATAAAATATTAATTTTTTTTTACAGCTTATATATTTCTTAATGTTTACATAGGTATTGTAAAAATCGTCAGAATGTTTATAATCGATGACGTAAATCGATATCTAAACTAATGTATATTATAATATTTTTTGAATAAGTCAACAAGAATATATGTTACTAAATCTATTTGCACCCTTTATAATAAACTAGAATAAATTAAAAATGTTTTTTTTATAAAATATTAGAAGGGGAAATATTCATTTACATTTTTGCTGTTTATATAGGTGTTTAAAAATTAACAGAAATTTATAATTTATGGTGCTAATTTATAACGAAAACATTAAAATAAATAGAATGTTCTATTTAATAAGTCAAAAAGTATATAGATGTTACTTCAAGGTCGTCCATATTCCACGTGGACAGTTATAAACAATAAATTCATAAAAAATCATACAGGATATCATACATGATCCTGTTATTTTTGAATACAAATTGTATGTCACTTAGGAAAATGAACAGTTTATAAATGTAATCTAAATTTATGATCAATGATAAAATTCATATTTTCCATGCAGAATCACATCGTTTAATTGTTTAATACGGAGAAATATCATAAATTAAAACATAATACTTTTGTTCTGACAAACGTTGGTTTAAAAGATATCAAAGACTCTTTTATATTTCTTCAGATATTAAAAGAATTTTCAATGTATTACACAATTGCCCTTTAAAGATTATTGTAATTATGGGCTGAAAAAACTATAAATAAACCCGTGTGGAAAAAGCCACGATCTTGCCCTCAAGAGTTCGGGGCCCCCGGCGGGGGCCCATGAGGGCTGATCCATATGGCGAATCCATGAGGGGCCCCGCATGGATCGCCCTCATGATCGATTAGCAAAATTTTCTAAGTCCAAAAATCAAATATTTTTTTATCACCAAAAAATTAATGTTTATAATGATTCAGAACAACGAAAAACGCGTTTTTAATAAAAATATATTTACACTTTTTTGAAAATTCACCTGAGATGATTCATGATAATAATCATAAAGCATATAATTAATTATATTTTATAAATTGCATTTGATTGGAAAATATAATTTAATATCTTAACTTTAACTAAATGATGTTAAGCACTTTTCTTTGTTAGGTATTTTTGAAGTTTAAATAGCATCAAAAAGTTAGCATTCGTTTTGAAGTAGCGTGCGTAGCGTAGTTGGTAAAGCGTTAGACTCATAGTCCGTAGGTCGTAGGTTCGATTCCCCCCATGCGTTAGATTTATTTATTTCTCAGGTTTGCGTTTAATCATTAATTCTATGTATGAATTAATTGAAAAATGAAAATATCCGTTAATAGTATGCATAAATTACATATTTTTTAATTTTTTAATTAATTAATTTATTATTACTTTTAATTATATCCGACAGTTAATTAATTAGAACTTTAATTAATAAATTCAATTTGAGTAAGAATTTAATTTAAAATTGAATAATTATTAAATAAATATGTTATTTATTCATAACTTAAGCTTATTTATTATTAATTAACTTTTATTATTAATATTATTGATTAAAAAACATTATGGCAAACTTGAGGGCAAACGTGAGGGCCCATAAGGGCGCCCGTAGAGGCACCCTCATGGATCGCCCATGCGGGCGCTTTCATCGATGAGCATGTCGTTTCCATGAGGGGCCCCTATGGATCATCCATATGCGGCCCTCATGGCATGAGGGCGATCCATAAGGGCCCCCGCTGGGGGCCCACATCACTTTTCCACACGGGAATAAATAAATAAATAAAAAAATAAATTACATTTATACTATTGAATGACCTTGTACTCGTTTTCTAATAAAAAATGTTTAAACTTTATTTTTTATATATTTTTTACATTTTAATAAAAAATTGTGAATTTACATATGGTAATTAATGAAAGAAATTATTTGTTAAACAAATATGTTTTGCATCAATTATAGTTGAATTAGTATCAATTATGCATATAATTTATTTTTCTATATTTTACTGTTTATATAGGTACATATATATGAGTGCAAAAATCAATAAAGTTTTCATCATCAAAAACGAAAATAGATTAAGGCAATTGAATTTTTATTGTCATTGAATACATAAAAATATACATGTTGCTTTTTGTATATTTTACGTCATTTATTAGAACAAGTAATAATTATTTGAACAAAGGTAACTGGAATTTTATAAATTAGCATAATAATATTTTGTATATAAATTATAAAATATTGAAATAATAGGACGCATAAATAAGCTCTAAAAAATTTTTTTTAGAATTATTAGACTGTCCATCAGCAATGTTTGAAAAAAAAATTCCAGCTCTTTTCAAAGTTTTTCAAGGTCTAAAATAATTTTTTTCAAGGTTCACTTACTGCGTAGAAACTATGAAAATATTTTTTTAATTATAATGATAACTTTCCTCCCAAATTATAATTAGAATGTAAAAATTTTAATCGAAGGGAGGTATTTAAATAACATAAATTTCATGTCATTTTTTTCATTTATTATTGAGCAACACGTTTCGATGATGTTTGTCATCCTCTTCATGCCATATGAAATCCTATCTATATTGTTTCCCTTATATAAATTCATATGAAATAATATATGTTTACACGGGTTTTCATATGAGATTTGACATGGGATTTTTCCAAAGAATTTTTTATCTATATATAAGTAATTTAAGATTTCACCTAGAATATGGGATTTGACATAAGAATATAATAATTAAGGTTATTATTATGAATTCTGGTATGTTTTTATAGAGGAAATTTCATAGGAAATTTATAAGGAATTGATATGGAATATTGACATACGATAATGTGAGAGAAAATTTAGAGGAAATCACATTTGTCAAAAAGAAGTATAATATATATATGATAACTCATATGTTATTTCCTATATAAAATCCCGTTTCACTTTCCTATACGAATTTATATGCACTGAGAGAAATGAATGGTTGGGGCTATAGTACTTTTTTATTAGTAAAGGAGGTATTTATTCTCCTGCCTATTTAGTTAGTAAAATTCAATAACGTTTTTAGTGAATTTTAATATTTTCGATGTGAAGCGCAACTATTTAGAATTGTTAAACAGGAAATAATAACTACACCTACAAAAATAGTTCCATGCAAAAGTTTAACTAACAGAGTAGTTGGGTTTACCATCTTTTTTAGTAAACGCGGTTGGCACCCTACTGAAAATCCCTGTACAAGATCTTGTACAATTTTTCTGTATAGGATCAGCAACTGAACTTGTACAAGTTCTGACCAGTTCCTGTAGAGGAAAATGCATACGAATTTGGAACAAGTTCATGTGTGAGATCTTGTACAAGAAAGATACCCGAGTGGAAAAATGTTGGCGAAGTCTAGAGTCCAATGATTTCCCGATCAGCAATAAACAAGAGCGTCTAGTGTAGACGGTCTGGTTGGGGCCTCACCATGGACTAATCAGACGGTCTTATTTGAAAATGTTTCAAGTCAAGTATGTCCGTCTTGTAAGTCGCTGCGTAGACCGTCCTGATTTGCCAATGACCGTACTTAAACGCTACTTTATTTATTTTTTTGCTAATTGTATTGCTTTCTAATGAAAAATAATAATTTCCTTAACATATTTCAGTATATAAAAATAATAATATTAATAATTTTATTATATTTATATCATTTATGTCATTATTTATTATCATCAATATAATAATTATTTATATTATATTATTTATTTTTTGTTATCATTATATTATCATTAAATTATTATTTATTAATTATCTATGAAATATACAGTACCATCGGAAATTGTCGGTACGACCGACGTGCGCTGTGTCGAAATTTGATGCCTACTTTAGAACTTGATATTTTGAGTTAGAAGAAACTTAGAGACTTGAAACTTAGATGGTTGGAAAGCTGATGAAATTCTGCGTCTTGCCATATATCAAGAAATTTTTTTTTAGTTTTTGGAGCGATTATAACACCGGAAAGGTTTCCACACAAAATTAGACAATTGTTACTATTATTATTATTGTTATTATTATTTTTATTTCGAGAGGAGGATTTTTTTTCCACTGATAACGAAATTTTAACACACATAAAATGAAATTAAAATTCGTTACATAAGTAATTAAAAAATGCATAACAGCCGATAATAAATCTTCATTTCAATTTTCAAATTTTTCGTACCAAAAATTTTGTAATTTTTTTGTCATATAACTTTATAAACTGCCAATATAACTTAAATTTCTATTATTAATTAATAGAAGTATGTAATGTAAATTATTTTAACAAAAAATATATTGTGTTTATAATTTCTGTTGAAATAAATTGTGTTTTTGGAATTTTTTTGTTTCTCTTAATAAAAAATGTTTTTCTGCAATTTGTTTTCAATTCTCTTGTTTGAAAAATTCTCAGAATAATTAATAATTTATAGATATTTTACAGAAATATTAAATATTAATTATAATTAATTATTTTAAAAATTATGTAAAATGAATGATCTATAATATTTAAATAGTTTAATAATAATAATAATAATCACAATAATAATCATAATAACAGATTTCACAATAATAAGTTTGTAATATTTTTATTAAGAGCATTTGAACCTTCGTGACGTCACAAATCATGGCGCATGACACGCAAACTTCTCAGGTATGTGAAAAGCACAATTTTGAATATTTTTTAAAAAAACCTTTTGGAAAATGTTCAGAATAACATAGACTCTGTCTGTTATGTGCGGAAAATTCAAAATTTTGCGTTTAAAACGTTTTTTAAACAATGTTAAGGTCACAAATCATGGCGCATGACACGCAAACTTCTCAGGTATGTGAAAAACACAATTTTGAATATTTTTTAAAAAAACCTTTTGGAAAATGTTCAGAGAAACATAGACTATGTCTGTTATGTGCGAAAAATTCAAAATTTTGCGTATAAAACGTTTTTTAAACAATGTTTAAGCTGGTTGTCACAAGTAAGGAAAAATACACGAATTGCTTATATGTAGGCA